TCGATCAGCAGGCTCTCGTACAGCGTTCCGTTCGCATACCTGCTGACCTTCTCGAGGATGAACTCTTTGTCGGCGCTCTCGACGATCTCCGCCTCGGACACGTTGAACTCTTCGAGCAGCCGTCGTCTCGCACCTGTCGCCGCCTCCTTGTCGACGATCAGGAAGGGCACAAGCAGCAGACTGCTCACCAGATTGATGAACAGCAGATTGATCACGAACCTATACATACATACATATAAATTAACAATGTAAGTTAAATAGCGTTAAAGTTAAATGTATGAATTATGATATATACCTATTCGAAGCTGTCCTCAGACCTCTTCTCCGGAGGAAAACCAAAACCAACAGAAAGTTGGCTGTGGTCGCGATCAGAGAGGACGAGACGAGGGCGAGCGTAACCAACCAGTGGCCCTCCAAATCCATAGATCTGCAAGACAAACAAACAAACAAACAAAAACATAAGATGTGAGTATAAATAATTGGAGTATTCCGAATGAATGAGCACGTGTGTGTCGTCTCCTCCACATCCTATCATCATCATCAACATCGTTATAATTCAGTTTTGTTATTAATAGAACATGAAAATACGGTGCTCAGTTATATACGATTACCGAGTATAATATCGGCGTGTGCTGCGATTTGCGAAATCTTTTGTTTCTCGAGGAACGTGCGTCCTCCATCCAAGTGTCTTCGATCCGACAATATCATTTGAAATCATAATCTATAAATATCGTAACATATGAATGGAGAGAACAAGTCTGAATCGCCCACAATTAGGAATCTCATTGGTTTTACAATTATCCTCTCATTTTTCCACCCACTTGCTAATCTAAACTAATACCAATCAGAGAGTGTGTGTGTGTGTGTATCGGTCATCATCCGAAATACTCATTCTTTCTTCCTCTCGCAATACCAATCAATGAATTATTAATTACCATTACGGTTGGTTGCTTGGGTTGGCTTCTTTTGCAATTGTAAACGTTGGAAATTCTCCAAAAACTCGCGCAATAATAGTAATAATTCAATAGTTTCGTCATTTATAAACTATTATGAATGAACGAATGAATATTAAATTTGAATTACGGCCAGATTTAACATCTGTTTCCCCAAAGAAAGAAAATGCATCATCAATTATGTTATTATTACACATTTATATCATTCATCATAACAAAGAAAGTTATGGTTCTTCCTTATAAACTAAACAAGGAGAAGGAAAAGTTTAATAACTATTTTTGTTTAAATTTAGTTTATGTGAGGTCCATTTGGACCTCTTTCTAGAGAAAATGTACATCGTACAAAACTATTGCTAGTTCAGCTTGATGGAAGCGTGTTGGCTATGTAATGATCAACATTTCTGAAAGTTTTAAATGCGCTGTAGTGGTAATGCCACCGCCATCTGTTAGACTTTGTGGACATAGAGTCTAATATCTTGATTGTTAAAAAAGTTAAATTTTACTAACAAAAAAAGAAACTTGTACTAGCACGGATATATTCATAATAATTATTTACTAATTGTTGATATTATATTTTATAATTAGTTTACTAATTGGTTCAACATTTCATTTGTTTTCCAAATCGTTAAAACTTTAGTCACAAAACAAAAAGTTAATTAATCATTAATTAACAACGGGTGTTATTATTTTTCGGTTAAATTTGTGTGAGGTCAAAACGTCTCCGTTTCGGCCTCTTTCAAGATAAATTTATTTACCATAAACGCACAAGGCATTTGCTTAGTGAAAAACTTGATCCCAGGATTACCAATGTAATCAACGCAATACTCATTTCGGACGTAAGAGTTTGAACATGCGACATCTGTCGACCTCTCGTGCGTACTTTCCTCGGTGGTATGAGAAACCGATAAATAAGAAAATTCCCTAAATCATAATAATTCACAGTCGAAAAGATAATTCACACGCCCCGGCCCGAAAACAAACGTACGATATAATTCAACGGCTGACCCAAAAGTGTCTCCTTTCTTCTATTTTATTTACACTTTTCTTTTTAAATATTATTATTATTACTTTCGGTGGATTTTTTTTTTAAATTTTGGCACAACTTTCAATGCTACAATCAGAATAGACGCGGATATATTAAGAAAATTTCATTTTCGATTCGAAAATTGCGTTAACACAACATATTTCGAAGTCATTTATTTGTTTCTCATTTTATATATATTTTCAGTTGAGTAAATTACATTCTGATGTGTGTTTGGTGTGCGGTGGGTGGCCTAAGTAGAATGTTGGCTTGAATTATGTAAATGCTCGATGTGTGTGGTAATAATACATACACCACACCACATCCGTAGAGCAGGCGGTAGCAGTAGTGGGTCATCAGCCGTATAATTGCTCGTTTGTTTATTCGCATTTCGCGTACGCAATCCGCGGCAAAAGACGTTTTAACTATTTATAACAACAACAAAAAACGCATATGCATTTTGATTGTTTCATTTAAATTTCACCCGAAGAACTAGAAAAAAAAAAACAAGG